GGGCTTGGGTTTATATAGAAGTTGAATGCATGAGCACTAGTCCGCACGGTTGAGAAAAAGGGGAAAATTGATCCTGTTGTTAAGGTGTTAGCTTACCTAGCTCTGCCTCCTAGCCTATTTGGCGACGAGAGACCCTCAGAGTGTAGTTTTGGTTGGCCAAATACAAAGTGTTATGGGATCTGGGACTACCAAATTAATCTTTGGGTTCTACTTGGTGGGTTATCTAACTTCCAACATAATTGGCCTCAAACAAGTGCTTTCCTTTCTTTCTCCCTTCCTTTTTCAATGAGAACACGTATAATTTCTGATACCCCCAGTTAGAGTTTCAGGTTACAACTCTTAAACAAGTAGAAGAAAACCACTATCTCGTATTATATATAGTCCCATCATCCGAAAGTATATTTCATCAATAAGATGGTGAGCAGGGTTAAGAAGATGGATATTTCTATTTTATTTCAAATAATGTATGTTAGTGTTAACAAAAATTACATTTACATGTCACAAGTCAAAAGGTAATAAAGTTACATATTTTCTTGCAATCCAAGATGTGTAGTGCATTTTTCAAAAACAAATTAACTCTGAGCAGCATGCCACTATCTCCTACCATTTGGAGTTTTGGTTTGCCGCAGATTGGCCAGTTCTTCAACTAGCTTCCTCTCCTCGTTGCTCAGTTGTCTTGGGATTTCAACCTGCCCTTTTACCAATTGGTCTCCTCTTATGTTCCTTTTATTCAGAAAGGGCACACCTTTCTTTGCCATGACCAGAGTAGTACCTGCTTGAATTCCTGGGGGGATCTTAAGATCAGCTGTTCCATCAACTGTTGGAACCTTTATTGTTGTTCCTAGTATTGCATAAACATAAGGAATCTTGCAAGTATATATGATGTTGGTATCTTCTCGTTTCAGCACAGGGTCTGGAAGCACTTCAACAGCAACAAAAAGATCACCTGGAGCCCCACCTTTCCTTCCTGAATTCCCCTCTGACCTGACTCTCAACCGACTACCTGAATCAACCCCAGCAGGAACCTTCAAGCTAATCCTCTTTGATTTCCTAAGTCGCCCATCACCTTTACATGTGTTACAAGGAGTAAATGTTTCCCCAGTCCCACTGCAGGCAGAACATGTCATTACCTGCTGGAAGACACCCAGTGGAGTCCTTGCTGATGAGACAACTTGCCCTTGCCCACCACATGTGCTACATGTAGTTGCCCTTGTCCCTGGTTTTGCCCCAGACCCATCACAGGTGGTACAGCTGTCAAGCCTTGATACTTCAATCTCTTTTTCAACCCCGAAGACAGCTTCCTTAAAAGTTAAGGTGAGATTGTAAACTAGATCTTCACCATCTGTAGCCATTTCTCGAGAACCTCCAGTCCTAATGTCCATGTCAAACAATAACCCAAATAGATCAAACGGATTGGTGAAGTCCTATCATGGTAGAACAACTCAGATATGAGTTTTCAGAAAGAACAATGATTTTGAAAATGGATGATGCGTGTGAAAAGTAACTGGGCATATAGTTTGCTCATTCAATTGAAGGAACTTACCCCCATGCCGATGTTGGAACCTTTAATACCATCTTCTCCATACCTGTCATATATAGAACACTTCTGATCATCTGACAATACCTGCACCACAGTGGTTCTTTTATCTTTAGTAATAGATGTAAATCAAAACATGTAATCATAAATTATCAAATCATGTCAAATCCCCAATGCTGAACTAGGCATCAACAACCGAGAACCATGTATGAAATCAGACTTGTACCTCATAGGCTTCACCAATCTCCTTAAATTTTTGTTCAGCTCCTTGTTCCCTGAAGATGCAAAATTTATCAGCACTGAACTAAGCTAGTCAAAGAGGCATACACACTCATTAAATGACAATTTAAGTAGAGAATTTTAACCCAGAGAACACTTGTGTTGCATCTATCCATACTGAAATTGTATGCATAAAAAATGGAGGCAAACATAACAAACTTTTAATGATAGCCATCAGACAAGGTGGAAAGATCAGGAAGGTGACATAACTGTAATTGAGGTGTCAAACAGTAAGAGATAGCACATTTGCCTCAAAACAGAAACCAAAAAAAAAAAAACCAGGCACAAGACAATGAAATCATAATGCATGCCACATGTCCATCTATAACTAAAAATCTTTCAGCTGGAATCTTAACACTTAGATATACATGAAGGAAGCAATTGAAAACAAGTTTTTACCTTATCATTATTGACTGATCCTTTAAGCTATAGTGCAGAAAGAAGAAAAAAAATGAAGGGATAAATTCTTTTAGCGTTCTCAGATGCACCAAAGTTGGCCAATTTGATGGCAAAGTTAACAAAGCAAATACAAGAGTTACAAACAAGTTAGAAAGTAAATGACTTACTTGTTCACGTCAGGATGGTAAGCCCTGGCAAGCTTCCGATAAGCTGGCAGGCAAAGAAGTACACAGTAAAAAAACAATATCAACAAGACAATGGATATTACTTAATAACAATGATAATAAGTTTAATAATGATAACAAAGTGAGAAATCGACTTTAAACTTCATTCTGGACAAAATTGGGGATACTTGAGTGTTACTGCAGTTAAAAGAATTTGGTCTTCCTGACAATAGTGTTCTTTTCCAAAAAGTATTACCCAAGAGTGTTTCAGAATTGAAAGAATGCATTCCCTGGAACCTTTCTTCTTCTTTATCATTTTACTACCTTCTTTGAAAAAGGCCATTGCTATTTGCCAATCACTAATCCTCAAGGTAATAATAGATTACCTATCGTTGATGCTACAGGATGGCAAATGGAAAACTGGAAGTTAATTAAAAAGGATAAATAGATCATAAATTCATAAAAAAAAAGTTTGCCAATCACTAATCCTTAGGGTAAAAGTTCTTCAACCTTTGGAAGAGCTGGAGATGAATATTCCGTCGAGAGGATGAGACACAGGAAAATTGTTATGGCGAGATTCTTTCACCTAGAAAACCTCTTTACGAAAAGTGCTTTTGAGTTTTGACTCCCTTCTAAAACCTTAAGGGAAAATTCAACAGCAGAGCTACCAAGGGTATTGACAAGACAGCCTAAATTCTTTTCTGTTTGTTGTGACAGTGTTTCTTGTACATAACATTTGAAAATTTGCTAACTACCGCTTTCACAGTATGGTTATGCCAAGAAAGAACAACGGAATTGCAAAATAGTTAGAGAGAAAGCAAAGAAAGAATTGTATCCGTGTGTGATGCACAGTCAAGAATGCAAGCTTGAGGAGAACAATAAAGAAAAAAGAATCAAATTTAGAAAGACTGCTCCTTGGTCCAAAAATAAAAAGACTGTTGCAGAGATCTCAAAATTAATCACAAATACCAACCCAATATGTAAATTATGACAAAAAGGAAAAAGGAAGGAAATAAAAAGAAGATAGAAAAGATGCAAACATGGAAATAGGAAAAGATCAGGATAGAATAATATACCGCCTTTTATGTCTGATTTGCTGGCATTTTTTGACACCCCAAGAATTGAGTAGTAATCCTGCAAGTAGAAATTGGGCATGTCATAAACAGGAAGGAAATTTGGCAAACAAAGAATCAAAATGATGATACAGAAATAAAGCTAAACAGAATGGGAAAAACCAGCCAACTACCACTAGCAAGCATAACATGATTTACAAGACAGTTACAGCAGACTCCCAGACCCACCTTAGCAGCTTTGACAACAAGATGCCTTGGCACATAGTGACATGGCTTTCTAGAAGGAACTAAATTGAATAATGTAAAGGCAGGATTTGGAGAAAACATACTTGAACTTGACGATGCAAATGCCTTCATCTTGTTCAAGACACTGCATGACAGAAAGCAACGCACAGAAAGTGTTGCTTTAAAATTAACAATAAATAATGAAACAAAGCAATGATGCATAGTTTTATAAAACCCCAAAATGACTATAGAAATTCTTTCCATTTCCAATTTAACATGTAGTCTCTTCTCTTCCATGCTCAATGCCCAAACTTCAGAATTCTAATACAGTTTCTCAGATTTAAACAGTTCCATGAAAAGACTTTAGGCGAAGAGGAACCCAATTTCCAAACATTCAGTCTCTCAGTTTGAGAAAGAAATGAAATTCCAGATGTCATAAACTCACCCTTCATGGCATAGCCGCAATCTGCTTAAATTAGAGTTTGAAGGTCGAGACCTTAAGCAAGGCAGCAATGTATTCCCAAAAGGCACAGTGACAGTCGTCATCCCAAAATGGCAATGGCTACTGCCCACCACCACCAAGGATCCAAAGATTCAAAAAGATGTAAACTTCAAAAAACCCAGTTTGAAAAACGAATAAAAATCAACACTTTCTGCAAAGAACAATTGAATACAACAACGTTGTAAGTAATTCTTATCAAAGAAAGATACTTACAGGGAACTTCACTGGTGAACCTTTCTTCTGAAGTTTGAAGTGTCCGTTCTCTTGAAAATTTTGGAGGGAAGGAGGGAGGTTGGTAAAGAAGGCTTTTATGATGTGCCTGCTCTGGGTTTGTAGGAAGAAGCAGCCCCGAAAACTGAAGCGCCTTCTAGAACTTCATTTAACTCGTACTGGTGCTAAAATTTCAATTA